GCAGGGGCCGCTGGTAGCATATTTTTCCCGAGAGCGTCTGCGAAGGGTTCTTCGTAAAAAAACATCTGCAGAACTACACCTCCTCTACATCTTCTCACATCTTCACCTCTGTACAATCACGTTCTCACCTCTATCTCTGCTCATCTTCACATCTGCACATCTACATCTCTGCTCATCTTCACATCCTCACATCTACATCTCAGCTCATCTTCACATCTGCACGTCTACATCTCTGCTCATCTTCACATCCTCATATGTACATCTCACATCCTCACCTCTCGCTCTTCTTAACTTTCTCTCTTAAGGCCGGGGGCAGTGCCGCCGGACCACCGCGAAACGCAACCCTCTGCGGAGATCGTGCGTGTCGAGTGCGCGAAATGCAGGCACGAGTGCGATTTGTCTCTGTCCGTCGCAACCCTCTGCGGAGATCGTGCATGTCGAGTGCGCGAAATGCAGGCGAGAGTGCGATTTGGCTTTGTCGCGGGCAACCCTCTGCGGAGATCGTGCGTGTCGAGGTGCGCAAAATGCAGGCGAGAGTGCGATTTGGCTTTGTTGCGGGCAACCCTCTGCGGAGATCGCGCGTGTCGAGTGCGCGAAATGCTGGCGAGAGTGCGATTTGTCCCGGTCGCGGGCAACCCTCTGCGGAGATCGTGCGTGTCGAGTGCGCGAAATGCAGGCGAGAGTGCGCTTTGTCCCGGTCGCGGGCAACCCTCTGCGGAGATCGTGCGTGTCGAGTGCGCGAAATGCAGGTGAGAGTGCGATTTGTGTCTGTCCGGCGATGAGAACTGGCGACTTTCTAGTACAACTTTAGTGCGCGGAGCAATCTGTGGAGCTGGAAGATGCGACATGGCGACTTTGTAGTACAACTTTAGTAAGTGGAGCAACCTGTGGAGCTGACTTTGTAGCCCAACTTTAGTACGCGGAGTATCTGGGGAGCTGGAAGATGAGAAGTGGCGACTTTCTAGTACGACTTTAGACGCGGAGTATCTGGGGAGCTGGCAGATGAGAACTGGCGACTTTGTAGTACAACTTTAGTACGCGGAGTATCTGGGGAGCTGGAAGATGAGAAGTGGCGAGTGAGCAATCTGTGGAGGTGGAAGATGCGAACTGGCGACTTTGTAGTACAACAGTACGTGGAGCAATCTGTGGAGCTGGAGGCTGAGAACTGGCGACTTTGTCGTGCAACTTTAGTGCGCGGAGTATCTGGAAAGCTGGAAGATGAGAACTGGCGACTTTGTAGTGCAAGTTCAGTACGAAGAGTATCTGGGGAGCTGGCGACTTTGTAGTACAACTTTAGTACGCGGAGGAAGCTGTGGAGCTGGAAGCTGAGAACTGGCGACTTTCTAGAACAACTTTAGTACGCGGAGTATCTGGGGAGCTGGAAGATGAGAACTGGCGACTTTCTGGCAATCTGTGGAGCTGGAATCTGAGAACTGGCGACTTTGTAGTACAACTTTAGTGCGCGGAGTATCTGGGGAGCTGGAAGATGAGAAGTGGCGACTTTCTAGTACGACTTTAGTACGCGGCGTATCTGGGGAGCTGGCAGATGAGAACTGGCGACTTTGTAGTACAACTGTAGTACGTGGAGCAAGCTATAAAGCTGGAAGATGAGAACTGGCGACTGAGCAATCTGTGGAGCTGGAAGATGCGAACTGGCGACTTTGTAGTGCGTGGAGCAATCTGTGGAGCTGGAAGCTGAGAACTGGCGACTTTGTTAGTACGCGGAGGAAGCTGTGGAGCTGGAAGCTGAGAACTGGCGACTTTGTAGTGCAACTTTAGTACGCGGAGTATCTGGGGAGCTGGAAGATGAGAACTGGCGACTTTCTAGCAATCTGTGGAGCTGGAAGATGAGAAGTGGCGACTTTCTAGTACGACTTTAGTGCGCGGAGTATCTGGGGAGCTGGCAGATGAGAACTGGCGACTTTGTAGTACAACTTTAGTACGTGGAGCAAGCTGTGGAGCTGGAAGATGAGAAGTGGCGACTTTCTAGTACAACTTTAGTGCGCGGAGTCTCTGGGGAGCTGGCAGATGAGAACTGGCGACTTCCTAGTACAACTTTAGTACGTGGAGCAAGCTGTGGAGCTGGAAGCTGAGAAAAGGCGACTTTGTAGTATAACTTTAGTACGCGGATGAGTCATCTCTCGCGGCTGAGTTATCTTTCGCGCCTTGGCGCAATCGACTAGTTTGTGTCGCGGGTCGTCCGTCGAGACTGTTCGGGACGAAACTGCGACATCATCGCTTAGACGACGGGATCCGCAACTGCCGGAAAAAGGGACGTGACGTTGATATGTGTCTACTTCACCTGCGCGACAATCGACGCGCAGTTGAAACGCACGAGTCACTTGTCCTGATCGTAATGTCGTTTGCTCTCAGGTCGCGGTGTTGGTGCTTTGAAGGGCCTATCCGCGAGGGTGGAGTGGAGATGATGACTTGAAGCACACTTGCTGCGTACTTTCTCTGTGTCTGATACTTGAAGTCAAACTGATTTGCTTTGAGCCTCTGCCCGCAGGATCTCTACTTGCCGCTTGTTTTTGGGACCAGGATGAAGCGCACACAAATCCATTTTGTGTGCGCTTCGACCTGCTGACGGTTTACTTCGTTTTTGTCTTGAAATGAGACTGACTTGTCTTCAGCCGTTTGAAGAGCGACTGAATTGTGACGAGCCTAAGATATATCTTTTCTCTCGCCTCTGTCCATTTACGTCTTCGCACGCTCGCATCCATACATCTACCTCTCCACCTCCATACATCTACACATCTATATGACACCTGCACATCCACACTGTCACTCCTTCACGTCCATCCTTTCTTTCTTTCTTTCTTTCTCGATGTCTTTTCCACAGTACTGGAATAATCACATGTCTCGCTCTCGGGCCACCCGTCGTCTAGTTGAACTGTGAAATACAGACTCCTGGCGCGAGCTGGTAGCCATGCCAGGAGCCCCTAGTAGCGTCCTTGCTCCTTAGCGATGCCAGGAGCCCCTAGTAGCGAAAAACAAAGAAACATGGAACTTGTGTTCAAACTTGGTCTGGCTTGAGAAATGTCGGGACTGGTTTCGTTGTCATCTGAACATTTCACACTGGTTCCTTGCTATGGTGTCTAGGAGGGTCTGGGAATTCTACAGAAAAAGTCACTCAGTTTCAATCTTTTTCGTTGAGACTAGTGGTGTTGGGGGAGGGAAGATGGAGGGGAGCGAGACGGGAGGTGCATGGGTGGGGAACGAGAGGCGGATGGATGGGGATGGGGGTGGGGAGGAGATGGAGGGGAGCGAGACGGGAGGCGGATGGATGGGATGGGGGTGGGGAGGGAAGATGGAGGGGAGTGAGACGGGAGGCGCATGGTTGAGGGAGGGAAGATGGAGGGGAGCGAGACGGGAGGCGCATGGGTACGGGGCTGGGGAGGGAAGGGTGGAGGGGAGCGAGACGGGAGGTGCAGTGGGGACGGGGCTGGGGAGCGAAGATGGAGGGGAGCGAGACGGGGCGAAGATGGAGGGGAGCGGGAGGTGCGTTGCCATGGGCGTGGACGGGTCTGGAGAGGGAAGATGGAGGGGAGGGAGACGAGATGGGAGGTGCATGGGTGTGGACGGGGCATGGGTGTGGACGGGGCTTGGGAGTGCGTGGGTGTGGACACTTGCGCGGCTGATATGCTAGTTACGAGGACATGGTTGCGGGTCAGTGCACAAGTAGAACGAAGCATGGGTGGGGTCAGTGCTGCTCCATGCTTCGCGGAAGCCCGTTGGGAGGTGAGTGGAGCTGTGTTGCGGGGCTGATACGATGGTGTTGGGCATCCAAAATGTGCACAATGCATGCGCCAGACAGTCAAGTCATGGCCAACACGGCAGGATTGTTGCGCGCCAAAAGCGCAATGCATGAAATTGGATGGTTGGAACGAACCATGGAGGGGGCTGATGCTGCTCCATGCTTCCTGGAACGGTTGTCAGAAGCCATGTTGCAATCGTTTTATGACCGTTTTGGAGGGTGTTCAAAACTGACCAAGGGGTGGACGGGGGTGTATATGGCAGACAGGGGTGGACGGATGCGCACCAGAACCGCGATGCTTGAAATATCATGGTTGCCACGAAGCCTGGAGGGGGCTGATGCTTCCTTTTGGCCTGCTAATGTGTTTGTCTATTTTTCCTGGGTTGTGCGCTTCTTTTTGCTTTTGGGTCCGCGGGCTCACCTTGTTTTTAACTTTTACATTTCATGTGCACTTTCAGAATCTCGTTGTCGAACAGGCCTGGCTGAAGATCTGCATCATCATCGAAGGCTCCTAAAAACGGCAGAACCATCGCCCAGCAAAGCGTTTTTCATTCATTTTTTTGGGGGGTAGGCCGCTAGGAGGTAGGAAGTAGCTAGGTAGGTAGCTAGTAAGGGAGAAGCTAGTACCACAAGTAAGCTATTACATATGGACGCAGGATGGCTCACGCTTCTTCAAGGAAGCTCCCGCCGCCCCAAAGGCGGTGGGGGAAGCTTCCTTGAAGAAGTGCTCGCACTATTCATCTGTTTCCTAGGTTTTTTAGGAAACTTAACTAGTAGCTTCTTGCTACTAGTAGCAATTAACTACATTGTTGTTTGAACATGAAAATTCTCTGCACATTGGGTAGGACAAAACCACTACGACCTCCGGCAGCTAGACTTCCACAGAAACGCTAAGGCCGGTGCCTCACATGAGTCTCCATTGCCAAGGGCTCCAGTCCCAAGCAAGGACCAAAACCATAGGCGGAGCAGCATGGCATGGAGGTGGAGAGGGTAAAGATTTTGAGCCCTTTGTAAAGCATAGCGGCAGCAAACATCTTTTACCCAAGAAATGCACTGTTGAATCAGTGGTCGTCAATGGTTCTATGAACACGATCACCTAAACATCCATGGATGTTCATTTGTCGAAACAGGGGCATTACTTGTTCATTCCTTACCTTTCCTTCTTCAAGTGTAAACGATATGACTCCAAATGTATTACGACATATGACTCATTCGACTCCCGGTTTCGTTGCTGCTGAATTGCCAATGCACATGCCACCGAAAGCAGCAGCGATGGGCACGTACCTGGTGCGAGGGAGGGGTCCTAAGGCGTACTTCAGCTCCCTGAAACATCGTCCACTTTTGGAGGCTTTTATCAGACTGCCTATTGTCTTGGGTAGGCCTCTCTAGAAACTCACTTTTGAATTTCACCAACTTGACTCCAAGCGTACCAGAAGTCAGGCTGAAAACGACTTTCGTGTGACGTCTGTTCTGTACCAATCACATTCTGTGTGTGCTCTGCTTTGGAGCAAAAAGCAAGTCGTTCCCTGAATTCCATCCTTCGAGTGCTCGGTCGTCAAAAGCATTCCTCCTACTAAGACAGGCTTTTGGTAGACTGCATTCTATCCGCTACTTAGTTTTGGAGAGATCCTTCGCTGAGATACTTTGTCTCCCAAAGTCTAGTTCTTTAAGGAAGCTTTTCCCATTCCCCTTCCCTAATAGGTTGGAGGCCATTGTTAGTAGGAGTTCTTTTAGGAAGCTTTCCCGTCTTCTCTTTCTTCCCTTTCTTTAGAGCAAAGAGTGTGTCCTAAGGTAGATAGTAGCGGCTTGGCGAACTTCAATGAGTTACCTAGGTCTGTTCCTAGTCATCTGCTGTCGTGTAGTCACTTACAGTCTTATACCCCCTACCGTTCTTATACCCCTTCATCACCTCATATCACCTCATGGCCTGCTCCCCTAATAACAAGACCATTCTGATTAGCAAGGGCAGCGAGGGGGAATCAAGTGCAAAACCCAAGGTGAGCAAGCAAATGTTCGCTACCAGGGGTTCCTGGCATCGCTACGAACGGAGCGATCGGACGCTACTAGGGGCTCCTGGCCGTACTACTAGGAGCAAGTAGCTATTAGGAACAAATGCATCGCTTCTAGTTTGCCAGTGCCTTACTAGTAGGAGCAAGGATGCTAGTAGTAACAAGAAACTCCAGGCTTCGGTCTTGGTGATCCTGGGTCTCTTTTTGGCGGAGGAAAGCAAGTTGAGCGGTCAGTGATTCTGCCATGGCGCCTTACGGACCAGATGGAGCCCCACACACTTCGAGTCTTTTCAGTCTGTTTCAGCCTTGTCTTGGCGGCCATCGCTATTCGGTTGGAGGGTGACCAAGCCGCCTTCGGCATTCTTGCAGTGGATAGCCTTTCTGGAACTACGCATGCCTGATTGCCATTCTGGGTTTGTATGCCTTACCAGGCTTTTACCCCAGACTTGGTGAGTTTCAGCAGTTTTGGAAGCCAAGGGTGCGCCTGCTCCGCTTCAGATTAATTTGGATGGAGACTTGACATGTCCTCATCTTGAATACCTTGCCCTAGCGTTGCTAATGAGGCAGTGAGGGTATTTCTGAAGAGTGATTTTCTTAGCTTTTATTGTCTTGGGACTCGGGACTATCCCATAGGTACCCCAGGTGACGGGTCCTTTTTCAGGTCTTGACCTTTCTTGGATCTTCCAATCCTTCCCTCCTTCCCAATCGGCGGTGTCGCAGAAGGCAAGAAGTTCGAACCTGGACAGCCCTCGAATCGAATGACTCAGAGCTGAGCTGTGTGTTGCCGGCTCCCTGCAAGTAAAACTGCAAGGTCCCATGAAATAGTAAAGTTAGGCCTTGCCCATCTCCCATTGGGACGGTACGATGGAAGATAGGCAAGGCCTAATCTAACTAGCAATGGCCTCAAGCCTATTAGCCATGGCCTCCAACCAAATAGGAATGGCCTCCAACCTAATAGCAATGGCCTCCAACCTAATAGCGATGGCCTCCAACCTATTAGCCATGGCCTCCAACCAACCTAATAGCGAGCTAGCGATGGCCTCTAACCTATTAGCCATGGCCTCCAACCAAATAGGAATGGCCTCCAACCTAATAGCGATGGCCTCCAGCCTAATAGCGATGGCCTCCAACCTAATGGCGATGGCCTGCAACCTATTAGCCATGGCCTCCAACCAAATAGGAATGGCCTCCAACCTAATAGCGATGGCCTCCAAACCAATAGCGATGGCCTCCAGCCTAATAGCAATGGCCTCCAACCAAATAGCGATGGCCTCCAACCTAATAGCGATCGCCTCCAACCTATTAGCCTTGGCCTCCAACCCATTAGCCATGGCCTCCAACCTACTAGCGATGGCCTCCAACCTACCCGGCGGTGGCCTCCAACCTGCTAGCGATGGCCTCCAACCTGCTAGCGATGGCCTCCAACCTGCTAGCGATGGCCTCCAACCTAATAGCGATGGCCTCCGACCTGATAGCGATGGCCTCCAACCTATTAGCCATGGCCTCCGACCTGCTAGCGATGGCCTCCAACCTGAAAAGGCGGGGGAGCTTCCTTGAAGAAGCATGAGCTATTCTGCGTCCTACCTAGGAGCTTACTTACAGGTAGTAGCTACGTCTCCCTACTAGCTACCTAGCTACCTCCACTTGCGGCCTACCCTCCCAAAAAATGAAAAACACTTTCCAGCTCTGCTCGCAGTATCGGCTTGCGCCCGCTGTGACCCCTGTGGTACAAGTTCAGAACGTGTAGGAGCGATTTTTCTCTGTATCCTTTGAACCTGGGCCGCACATTTCACTCTCTAACACTGAGATAGCTGAACTACAGGATGTAGCGTGAGCAACTCTGGATTCGAGAGCAAAACGGTTGCAGCCTCGCCACATGATTTGTCTATCTCGCAGCATCTTCGCCACATCTCGCGATGAGGAGCCGCTAATCTGGCGCAGTTCAGATCTTAAACTCAAGGTTTCTCTTCAATTACTTTTCTGTTCCTGTTTTTTGAGACCGTTCTTTTCCTGCCTTTTGTTACTTATCTGGTGCAGTTGATGGGGTCTTAAACTGGACTCAAATCCCTGGAGGCCCTTGCATTCCCGAGGCTCACCAGGATTTGTCAGGGTTCATCATGTTCAAACATATTCAAACAAAGGAAAACACGCGATCAGAGATCAAAAGCCTCAATGAAATACTTGGAGAAAATTGCGCATGAAAAGAGCCTTGGCAACTGTGTGGCGACTGCAAAGCCTTCGAGAGTGTCATGCTGTCGAGAGCTGTACTCTGAGCAGCCGACACAAAGAGGATGTAGCAAAAGGCGTGCAAGGGATCCTCAGCTTTCAGAGCAATTAAGATTCTGTATCAGAACGAGGAAAACGGGGGTTTGGTGAGTCATCAAGTAGCGTCAGAAGCTAAGTAGCTCCCCGGGTAGTCTTGAGAAACATTTAGCGGCTTTATGCTGCTTTCCTCAGCAAAGTCTCTTTGCGCCCGAAATAAAACTACAGTAACGATTCTTGAAAAAAGCTTTCCCATGCTCCCATGCTCTCCAACTTTCCCAAATCCATCACTGTCAGAATAGCCACTTCCACGATATTTGAGAAGTCATTGGGCGGTGAGATGTAGTAGGCCAGTCCTGCACATGAAGGGCTCATGGCTGGTATCGACTTTCAAGCTGCAGGTCTTCCGTTACTAAGAAGCTTCAAAGACATACTATATAAAAGTGTTTTGTTACTAGAAGTGAAACAATTCCCAGTGAAACGACTCCCAAGGAAGCTTCATTCTAAAAAGTTTCTTGTTACTAAGAAGCTTCAAACACTTTCCCTAGTTTTTGTTTTTCAGTTTCAGTTTCAATGTTGATTTGCTCTCTCTCTCTCTTCTCCTCCAATGGGAATGGACTCGCCGCCATAATCTAAGTCTTGCCACTGTCCCAGCAAGTTCACCAGCATGTTCGACTTAAACCTGAGCCCAGGCTTGGCGACCTGATACAAAGAAAACATATTGCAATTAAATAAACCTAGAAGAAATGGCCTCCACCCTAGTAGCAATGGCCTCCACCCTAGAAGCAATGGCCTCCACCCTAG